TGATGTAAGTTTGTTTCTCTGGACTCTACCTTTACAATTCTGCAACTTATTTAATGCATTTAAAGGATTTTGTATTTGAAATAGAATTTTTTTTATAAAACACACAATTAAGTTACGTGAAGTTTCGTTTAAAAATTAGTCATGTGGGCTTGAGGAAAAACTATTTCATTTATATCAATGGATTTTTCGAAATGCTTATATTTTATTTGCATAGTCTGTTGATACATTTTTAAGGTTCGGATTTTTATTCTTTCTGAAGGTTTTATCTAGAGATGGAAAGAAATGCCCTTAAATTGTTTTTGATTTTAAAGAGTAGTCTGAAAATTAATGAAATACACGTGGATTAAATTATAACTTTCCTTTTGGTGTATGAAAAATAATTTGTTATATTTTATGCATATTTCAATTCCGTTTTATGTTTAAATACAAGTTCTTTTAAAACATTTGTATGAATAATGTTTTGCTTAGAGTAATTTAGAATTGTTTATTCTTTTTTTATGCTTCCAAATCTAAATTAATTTATTCTGCATTTGATGACTAAATCGGGTATTGGTCCTTCCAAATTCATAAAAGTATTCAGCTATAAAAAAAGTATATTTTTTGTTGCAATAGTTGTATAATAACTGAAATCATTTTAATTGGAAATATAGTTTAAAATTAAAAGCTAAAGTTTATTTTTCGCGTGAAATTATCTTTGGTTAAAAAAATTGTATAATTGTTTGCAAATTTTTTTTGAATCACTTAAAAAGTTCGCAAGATATGGCGAAATGTGTAAAAAATAAAATTATGATTAAGGGATCCAAACTTTGGGTTGCTCTCATAACCGAACTATGGAGACCCTATTTCCCAAGTCATGGTTACCCCCTATACTTTGAGAGTCAGAAATTCAAAGCTGTTGGGAAAAAAAGCATGTTTATTCAGAGAAGGTATGTTTTTATGTCTGATTTTGTAACTTAAAATATCATCTGCTCTAATTAATAACAAATATTTGAGGTCACTCCCTCAAATCATTATGATGGATTCCTAGAACGTTAAGATCAGATCGTTTGATCAAAATTTAATCAGGGTGGTCTGTTTGTACATATTTTATGAATTCGAAAGATAAGATGTTAAATATCTGATAGAGGTCAGATTTCTCTGAGCAGATTGTGTTTCCAATAACTGAACTGTTGATTCTTAGCAGGAGTCTGTTTAAAAGAAATTTGGGTCTGTTAACGGACCTTTCACAAAATATCTTTTCATAAAAACAGACCTTTCACAAAATATTTTATTGCTCTTTTAAATTTTAAATTTTTTTTTATTTATTTTTACAGTGTTGAGCATAATCTTGTATCTCTTTACAAATTAAGAACTCCTTGAAAAAGTTTTTTGCAATAACAGGACCCTATTTGCACACATTCGCAAAAGCAGGACCCTGGTTTATAGAATGTGACTTAAAGTTTATTTTATATTCACAAATTACGAGTAATTTTTTTCACAATTTTACAAAAACGGACTTTTCACAAATTGTCTGGACAGACCCCTGCTTTGTGTTTTTATGAGAGGTACCTATTTTGTGAAAATTTGGACATAATTTGTGAAAATTAAAAATTGTATAAAAAACCAACTCAAAAATATGGTAAAGTAAGAAAATATTTTGAAAAATTGTCTACAAATAAAAATAATTCATGACTATCAAATTTTTATATATTTTTCCCCGCACATTCAAAAATAATTTTGCTATTGTAAAATTTTGAGCTTAAAATTATATCCAAATTTAAAAATCCATAACAGGTCCATTGTTAAATTTCAATTTGAATTTTTAAAAAAAAAAAAACATGCATTTAGCAGTTCTTGCTTTAGAAGTTATTTTCATTATGAGAACATTTCCCATACGGTCATACAGAAACAAGTTTCAATGAGAGAAAATGTTTCAGAAAAAAGTAAATGTCTATTAGAATAAATTTAGAACAATTTCAAATATTTAGAATAGCGTTCGAATTTCAACTTCTTGTAAAGTTCACAAAGGGAGCGCCTCATTCTTTAATTAAAAAAAAAAAAAACTCTGCAAAAAAAAAAAAAAGAAAGCTTTCNAAAAAAAAAAAAAAAAAAAAAAAAGCTTTCTATAATATGGCGTAAGCAACCCTTTAGGCTTACCACTCCGCACTATCTGACGAAGCACGTACTACTTTTTCTTGCGGGGATACAAAAACAAAATTTTAAGAGGCGGGGAAGAGAATCTTAGAACTTGCTTTTTTCAAAAGTATTTTGTGAAACTACCATTTTTCCTAGAGTTGAATTTTAAAGGTACCTCTAAAAGGTACCTCTAGTAGTAAATTTGCCCTGGACAGACCCCTGGTAAGGTATAGAAACGTTTAATAAAACATTGTGTTTCAGGTAAATGTGAAGGAACAAGGCAGGCTTTTGAGACAGGAGGAGTTCATTGTGTGGCACGGGAGGCTGAGGAAGAATATGATGCGTCACATCTTCCTTTTTGAGGATCTCGTTCTCTTCAGTAAAGCACAGAGAGACCCCCAGAGGAAGGGATATGATGTCTACCACTACAAACACAGCATCAAAGTATGCATTTTTATGATAATTTAATTTTCTGACATCCTTTATGAGACAAATGTTGTTCAGATAGCCTTCGCATAAGTAAAAGTATGAATCGTATCTATTAGATTAGAGTTGCACAACTTGCGGTCTGCGGGCCACATGTGGCCCACCAAAAACCCATGATGTGCAACCTGAACAAAAGCAGTTCAGGTTTCGGCAGCAACCTGAACAGAATTTTTAAAAAAGAATTGTTATTTTTTCTGGAAGAAAAATTCGGTATTTTTAAATTGCGTATTTAAGTTTTTGACTTTTAAGTTGGACTTTTGTAATATGTAACATGATTTAAAAAAACATGAATTTTCCCATTGTTTTTAATTATTTCAATTTATTTGTAAATTTTTTTTGATAAATTAATTCTGATTCTGTTTATTTTTCTGAGTAATCAGTTTTGCAGTTTCTAATTTGAAACATTTAAAAGTATTTAATTTTATGCAAACATATTACAAGGTTAACTGATAAAAAGAAATTAGTGCCTAGAGCAATGATGTTTATTGAACAATTACTACCAACAATTGCTGTCAACATGTCAGTCTAAATACTTTAGCATGTGACCCTTGATTGGCTCATCTGCTGCGCATGTGGCCCTTCATTTCAAAAGTTTGCACATCTCTATATTAGATGTAACACTCCTATGTAATTTCACTTGTGTAATTACTATATTATAAATGCATTTTCTAACTGTACGTATATAATATCAAAATTATTGTATTCCCAAAATATGTAAGCCCTTGGGATAGAAATATGTTGTTGCAATTAGATTTTAGATTCTTCCACTAATTTGTGTGCATATATCAAGACCATTAAATTGCAGTCAATAATTTATATTCGGACATCAGAAATTATCATTGAAATTTATTTAAAACATAAACTCTCTTCCTCTTTATCCGTCTATTATTTTTATTTGTAGACAAAACAAAAGACTTAAATTTGATCAATTGAGTCTTTTAATTAGAACTCGCCTGCATTTATGGTAAGGCAACAATGTAATATGATACTCAAAAGTATTCAGATACTGAAATGAAATCTATTTTTTTTGTGTTGGAGAATTACGTGCCCCTATAAAACAAGGACTGGGTGATAAATTGATGCTTTGGAAAATATTGATTATGTGCAATCATCGCCGATCCGATGTTTTAATTGGCAATTTTCCGAAGCATCGGAATTGGAATTTACTGAGACGATGAAATGAAATGTTATGAAATGAATGAAATTAAATGTAATGAAAGTTATTAGGGATAAAAGTAAACTTATACATAATTATTCATTTAAAATATGCTGTATGTAATTTCATGTTTTGAAAATATCAATGATTTTAATTTATCAAGACATTAATTTTTTGAAATGCTTCATTAATGATTTTACTCAAGAAATTTTAAGCATATTTGAGTTGGGCTCGCAATCACCCCTGTTTAAATGATAAGAGAGTGTATTATTTAATATTCAAAGTAGAAAAAATAATAATAAAGACCAAATGTGGAGTAAAGAATGTGAAACTTATAACTTTTCATTAGCTGTATTTAAAATAATTTTCTATTTAATAAACATAATTCAATTATATCCATTTAGTTTTATGTCTGTAAAATTAGAAATACCTTATTAAATATGTAGTGTGTTTGTTCTGCCAAGAGTAAATATAGAATCTTTTTATTTTTATAGTGGCAAGTTTAGTAATTAGATAATAATTTTAACTGTTTGAGTTTGAAATGTTAATATATTTTATTTACTTTATTGTATAGTGTTGTTTTTAAATAATATTAAGCATTATTAATATATTTTATCACAGCTTTGAGTGGTATATGTTAAAATAAATAAAATTAAATGTAAATTAAAAAGGGATATTTTTTTGCCAATTCCGTAAAGTAATCAAACACAACACAAAATACAAAACTCAGGTAGATTGTAATCAAGATTTCACAATGAAAAAGGTTCAGGTTATTAATGTTTTCAATTTGCAAAATTAAAGTTTTAACTCGTGTAACTGTCTAATATTTGAAAAGGAGATATATTCATGTTTGTTGTGAAAAAGATAAATAATTAATTTTAAAAAAAAATGCTACAGGAATCAATATGAAGTGTGACATTTATTTTTACCAACATTCACGCAGGTGTTTGTTGGAGGGGAACTATTTTTTTAGTGGTTGCAGCACTACAGCCACCTGTATTTTATTTCTGGTAACGTCAGCATTTGCTGCAGGTCATTTCTGACAAAGCACATTTTTCATTCGGTGGACTTTGAAATGTTGCCTTTATAGCAGCAGGCGAACATTAAATTGTTTGTTCTTCTAGGTGAATTTTCTGACATGCTTGAAATTCTGAAGAAAGCATATTAAGGGTATCTGCGCACCTGGAAAGTCATGGAACAAAATTTGTCATGATTTTAAAGTAAAACAGTTGTTATCAAACAGTTTTGATATGATTTTTCAGCTTAAATTTTAAAAGGTGTATCTTAATAGTTTTATGAATCTAGTCATTGCTTTGATAATGAAAATTCAATAATTTACATTTAAACATAAGTTTATTTTATAAATTACAATTTACTTATTTTATGATTTGGCTTGTAAAAATACAATTTGCTTTAAAAGTGGAAAATCACAAATACCTTTAGCTTATTTAGTAAGAATTATATTCGTATTTTCAGTATTTGTACTTAAAAGCATTTTTTTTATTAATGTTTGTTCTTAAAAGCACTGTGTGATTTGTAACATAATACAATAACATATGATTTGATTACGATATTTTAAGTTTTTTTTAAATTTAGCCATTAAAGGCATTTCTTTAAAAAAATTCTCCATTTTTTTTATTTTAATGTATATAAAATTGACTTATTAAATGACTTTAAAATATTACTACTATTTAAAATAGATCGCAGTTAAAAACTGATTTAAATTTTAGTACTTGATATAATTGTTATTTAATATAATATTTGTCTGTATTAAAAAAGTACATACTTGTACCTTTTTAATGTATTAATGCCAAAGGTATAATACTTGTCTGTATTAAAACTTAAATTGGAATAAACTGATTTATTCTGCGGTGCCTTTTTCCACTGTGGAAAAAAAGACATGCCACCTGGTATAATTGTTATATGCACTAACATGAAGATTGCCTTTTACAGCGAATCGCCAGGCAGAGAATCAGTCTGTGGGAATAGGGAACAAGCCATGCCTTGATATAAGACCTAGTGAAGATCAAATAAGCGATCGTTCTATTAGTATACAACAACTCACAAGAGGTAATATATTTCTAGAGGCCTTTCTAATGTTTTTTTACACTCTTAACTTGGCAAACAACTGATCAACTCCTTTGTATATTTGACATTTTGTTAATAAGGTTTGGCCATGCTATAAAAATATGGCCAGTAGGGAACTTGAGATAAACACTGCTGAAGGAAAAATGTGTGACT